TGGCCGGATCGGGGGGCGGAGCTAGGGAAACGGGCGGGAGGCGGTGAGAGAAAGGGGCGGGGCCGGAGGAGGAGGTGAGGGAGCGGACGGCCTCCTGGTTTTAGGGGCGTCGCGACGCTTTGCGCCCGTGCCGGGAGAGCGCTGGCGGGGTGGGGGCGGTGGGCAGGTGCGGGAGGAGGCACCTGAGCTGCTGTGGGGCAGGGAGGCTGCTGAGGCCCGAGGAGGCGGCCTGGGAGAGCAGGGCTTGGTGGCGAAGGGACCGCCTGGGCCCCTTCAGGACCTGGGTCTTCAGGCTTGCGGCCTGGCAGGGAGCCCTCCTTCTGGAAAGTGAGGTAAACAGAGCCGTCCTGAGCCCCGGGAGCGGCCGCGTCCACCGCTCACCGGAGTACCTCGGGCCGCTGTCCCGCTAACGGAGCAGGACGGGCACTGGCTGAAGCAGGGGCTGTCGCTGAACTCGTGCAACGTGAGGGAGCTGGAGGTTATTTGGTTTTAGTCGTTCCTCCTCGAACTCAGTCCTCCTTGTAAATGCCTCGGTCAGACCTTCTAGTTTGAGTGTACTGAAGAGAAAAATGAGATTTCGCTTGTTTGGAGCAGCTTTTTGTTGTTGAGCGATATCTACGGACAAGTTTGTTTCTGTTCTTTGCTCAAGTGCGTGGTTTTGGTTTTGTACATTTCAAAAATACAAAAGAGATTATGTAGACTATTATTTTCAACTGTTTCTTTCACTGTCCCTTAATTCCCTCTACACACAGACATCCAACGCCAGGTTTCTTTGTTTCTCAGTTTACAAATAGTTCAGTAGTCTAGATATACACAAAAACTATTAAATCTAGGACACACTATAAACTACAGATGGTGATTTAGCAAATCAAAAACTTACTACTGTCCAAACATGTGGCTTTATTCCAAATAACTCTTTAAAATAGATGTGATTACTTACTACCTGTTTACATCTATTGATACATTATGCATGAACATCCATGCCAATTATAATTCAGATTATATTTACTTCCCAGCCTCTGGCCTGTTTTCTTTGTTAAAAGCAGATATGGAAGCATTTATTGAATGTCAGAGTCAAGTCATCTTTGACTGCCTCATGTCTGAATGGATGCTGAACTTGTTTCAGTATGCCAGGGGTTTCACCCTTGTTCTCTTGATACTTAGAAAGACGCGGACAAGGTATTTGCAGGCAGATTTACAACATGGATATTTTACATGGGAGGCCAGAAATATCTGCAGCCCGTCTCCTTCCTGAAGCCCACTGCTTGGGGCAGGAGAGGTTCTGAGTATTTATTGCAGGCTGTGGGAATGAGAGAGGTTCACTAAGATAAAGCAGACCTGAAGGAGCACAGCGAGCCTAGAGGCAGAGATGCTTTTTGGGAAAAGCTGTCCTACTTTACACTTCACTGCACATCGTTAGATTGTGTCTGATAGATATTATTATTACTCATTTGCTGCTTTCTTCAACTATTGTCATTTAACATTCGTAGAAGAAAAGACCAAAGATGATGAGAGTGCTAAATGCATCTGCAGCTGCCAAGACGGTGTTTACGTGAGAGATTGGCTTTTGAGAGTTGTTGGGGTTGTGTTTCTCGCAGAGAGATCTAGAGAGAACAGTGTAACTGAAGACAAGGTATATAGGCAGAAGTAATATCTTTTATTATAAAACGAGAAATACAATTGGAAAAAAGTAGGCAAGTGTTTGTCATGCAAAATCCTGTCCCCAGAGAAATCAAATCCAAACTCTCGGAGTTGTCTATGGAAATGATGTCAATAGACTCGAGGACAAGCCCTGCTCTTACAAAGTGTCATGCTTAATGTTTGTACGGGACAGGTTCCCACTTTTCATCATCCTATACAAAAGGCAAATTGCAATGGCGTTACAACCAGGAGGTGAGCAGCCTAGGGTTTAGGCCTTCACTACATTTGTGATGAAGACAAAAGCAAGTGTTGTAGTCGGAACAAAACAGGGCTAAGTCCTGGGGAGAGCAAGAAGGTTGCACTCACAAGGGAAAAGCATGGGGATAGTCAGCGAGTAGACCAGAAATCAGTAACGTCAAAAAGTCTACATATGCTAATACAAAGACAAAGGAGGGACGTGGCTGGAGTTCAGGCCACAGTCAAGCAGCCATTTGATTTAAGGACCTGCCAGAAGCAGTAGCAGGACTGCAGCAGTTTTGAGAAAAAGACCAAGAAAGCCATGGTCAGGAGTCAGGAAAAGGAACTAGGCTCAGGACAGGGCAATCCATAGGCTCTTAGGGAGTCTCTGCCAGTAAATACAGTTACTTACTGCCATTTAGTTAGGAAGCTGGGCTTGAGGTAAAATTTAGTTTTTGAGCTACCAGGGAAATGATCCACCAGCTGCTAAGGAGCAGCTCATTAAATCTGACATTAGGTTTATTTCATTCATGAGGTCTGAAATTTGTACTGAGGTGCCAAGGATTTTATACATTACCAACTTTATGTGCAGACATGCTAAACACTCCTCTAAAACAGAAGGCTAGAAGGAAAAGGAGCAGTACTTTTATAACTGTTAGAGAAATACACTTTAAGACATAGCAGAATTGAACCTTCCTCCTCCACTTGCGCTAAATATTTCCTTTTTAATATATGGAATTTGAAATATACCTGAGAAGAAGGTACAGAAACATAATTTGTCTCATACTATGGACTGGCAAGTTCTTTCTTCCATTTCTCGCAGATGGATCATCAGAAACACAATACACTATTATATTTCTGAGAAGGCAGAAATCTTCTAGTATTACAGAAGAAAAATAGCCACGTTCCTTTCTTGGGCAGAAGTCTTTGCTCAGATCCTTAGGTCTCTACATCAAGAAGGAAGGCCATGGTTGCCACCTCAGTAGAATCTACTATTTATACCTAAGGAAATGCAGTTTAGAGTAGACAGCTGTGGCAAACAAACTGACTGATGAACCTATTGATTTGGGAATACCAAAGTAGTATTCTGAAGCATACCAAAAGAAAAACTCAAAAATTAAGCCTGAGGCACCCATCTGTTCAGAAAGTGCTTAAAGACTTACTGTCTTGTTATTGGTCTAAATTCTTTCCTCCCTATTTCACGCTTAGAGAATAAAGAAGATGATGGAGTGACTGTTCCCAGCAGTTCTTATCACCTCCTCAGTAAGCATAAGGATCTTGATTGGGATGTCATGGGATATTACCTAAACATGATTTAAGTGTATATAGAGTCTTGTCTCCAACTGCTAACATACACGTATGAAGCAGAGACTTCTATTAAGCCAACATTTACTGCTGCCTAATCCCTCAGTGTAAAAGCCGAGAGGATTTAAAAGATCTTCCTCCTTTTATTCCCCCCCCCCCCCCCCCCCCCAGTAAATACAGCCAAGTTTTAAAAGAACAGTTTTTCGACCTCTGGATGACCCAGTATGTATGTCTGGTATTCTGAATCCCCAAGGAAGATTTTATGTGCACTGGATTAACTCTGAGATAGTCCAGGAAAGAGCTAGTACAGACTAATGAAATTAATTGAATTGGCTAAAATTGAAGCTGCTAAACTTAGAACTATTTTATTGGGAAGGTTCCCACAGAATTTGCCAATGGATTTTAGATTACCATCTGTAACTGTAAAAGTAAAATTGGCACCATGCCCTTTAAATCTAAGTTTATTTAGTATCATTTGAATAGGTGATGCCTTCTTCTCCCGTCTTCCTTCAGCCAAATGCAGTTTGAGCTAAACAGAAAATAAGAAGCAGTTCTCTCAGTTAATACAACTACTCACATGATTACATTCAGCATCTTGCTTAAGATTTGGCCAGGTTGAAGTTTAAAACCCAAGTTAGTAAGATGGTTAGAGTGACTACTTATTTTAAGGAGAAGTAAGAATATACACATGCCACAGTTGATACCCAGCACTTTACATACTCAAAATCCAATT